GTAGATGTGAAGGAAGTTCAAATCACCGGGGACAGGAACCCAAAGATGGGGGACACTCTGAATCTGACCTGCAGCGTTGAAAGTTTCCCTCCATCATTTATTGCATGGACTAAACACAATCACAATGGCAGCCTGAGCAAAAGCTCCACATCATCCACACTTGTCATTCCTAACATGACAGCAGAACATTCTGGACTGTACATCTGTGAAGCATCTTACAGGAGAAGGTCTCTGTTTTCATATGTCAACATTACTGTGAGTTGTAAGTATATTTCATTTATCTTAATCCAATGTCTGTATAATTTATTGTTGCTGTTGTGAGCTCCGTATACCACTGCACTGTTTATCCTGAATAGAGTATACACTATATACACAGTATATACTGTATTTGACCATCATTTCTTCTTTCTTACAGCAGATCTTGAGAGAAATAGTGGATCTTCCTGTCCAGTTCTTTCCTGGGTCGTTGCCGGTGTGTCTCTCAGTGTCAATGTTCTCTTCATATTCTTCATATCTTGTCTTTGGTATGTTACTCCATCTTTGTTTCAGAGCTCTTTGAATGCACTCAAGACTTTTGGGTAAAAGTGTTTGTTCTCTTTAAAGGAACTCAAGAAAGAAGGTGAAGCCAAATCAAGAGGACAGCACTTACGTGTCGCTGCAAAAGACAGACGTATCACCAGAGTATGAGGTTATTACCCAGCGTCGAAACTAACGAATCTTTGGAGGCTTCATGATTCCCAAACCTTCACTGATGGATTCTTTTCCACTTAAAATGGAGGTTTTGTTGTTGTTGTTGCTGTGGTGACGTCATTTTGTTGATTTGATTTTCTGCATTAGATTGTCAACAATAAGAGTGTTTGCATAATCTTTGAGTGCACATTCAGCTGATCAGTTCAACGTGTGACTCGTCATGATGTGTCATGATGAATATACAGTATATGTCCCCTTTGTGCCTTGCAAGTTGTGTCCTCTTCCACAGTGTAAGCTGATCCGTTCCAACCCTACAGTGTTTAGAATAGCATCCCCATCTTCCAGGCATGGTATCCCAATTTTCCTAACTGGAATTCTGAATGGATGGCTGGTTTTACTCCTTTGGGAATCAAGAGAAAGATAGACCTGACCTGCTCTACAGGCAGCCAAAAAGGCACCACAATTGGTCAACGTTCACGCCCGTCCTACATTTCTGCCCTCTGATTGGTTCCCTTGTCTCAACCAGCTGTATCCTCCTCTACCTCCTCTTCTTCCTCCTCGTAATGTGGTTAGATGTTTATTTTTTTTCATCACAATTTCTGTTTTGCATTGTACAGTGTGCTACTTTTCTTTGGTTTGCATTGAATAAACTGGAATTTGTCCAAAACTGGTCACCTGAGCATAAACCTCTGACCTTTAGCTTGGAACTGTTTAGTGAAACACACATCATCACACACCTTGACACAGCAGAGAATCGGATTTCCAGCACAGCTATGGCTGTCCACTGTTGGATAAACACTTGTCATCCACTCCAGGGTTCTGAATTTCTGACTTATGCTGTATGAATGCGTTCTAGATCTGCTGTCTTGTGTGGCTGTTTCCATAGATATGTGTAATAAAGGCTAGACGTCTCGTCCGCGCTGTCGGCCAATGGAATCGCACGGCCACAGTGGTGGCCATCTTGGCACGGTCAGCTCGCTCACCCATAACGTTGTGTTGTAGCGGTGCGTGTGCTTTTTAAGTAACCATAACTTGCTCAGTTGTCTACCGATTTTCAAACGGTTTGGTTTGTTATAAACGTCAGAGGTTTATAGAAAGTAGGTAAGAGCCGCTGCAACTGGCTGCCACTCTCACAGCTAGAGATAATTATTATTTTAATTATTTTGTATTTTATTTGTATTTTTGTACTTTGAATTGTAGCCATGTTAACAGCGTTTGTAAGAAACCAAACCGTTTGTAAATCCGTCAAGATTTCAGCGAGATAAGAGTGTTTTGTGCAGATCACTCACCTTCCTTCATGTACCACAGGTTCCACCAATGAGCTTGCCTGTGTCAAGATGGCCGCTGGTGATCCCGTTCAAGACTCCGCCTTGATACATCTAGCCTTTATTATACATATCCATGGCTGTTGCTGTCTGGGGATTCAAATATGGAACAAATAGCAAAAATATTCCATATTTACTGTAGAAATTCCCCCCAAAAAGTTCAGCAATTCAACAGCAAACAGGAAGCTGATAGAACACAGCAGTGTAAAAATAAATTAGCACTTCAAGTACTTTACTGCAGCTATCGCACAATTCTCTTGAACGCCACAAATATGCAGAAGTGTTTCCAAAGATGCTGTTTACCGTCGAAATGGGGAAATGCTTGAAGCAGATGTATTACACTAGAATCTTTAGTTGTTAAATTTCCTTCATCTTTCTCACGTCTTATACATGAGTGATTACTATTCCAATAAATGCAGATATTAGTAATAGAGGCCATGAAGAGCAATGCAGCAGTGTTGGATGTGTTGTGCATGGTTGAAGTGATTTAAAAATCAGCTCTGAATGCACACACTCATGTCAAGTGTGTGGACTGGTTTGTCGCTTTCCCAAGATAGCAAGACTTTTCTTAAAGACGGGGGCGAAACACACACAGTTACATTACTTCCCTTTACGGAAAGTTTCAAATTACATCAGGCATAGGGTTTTTTTTTGTTTGTTTTGTTTTTTGTTTTTTTCCTTTTTAAAGACAAGCAAGAAAAGTTAACTTTTATTCACCAAGTCAATGATGGCAGTTTCACACATACATATGTAATGTAAAAGCTGTGATATTATTTTAAGCGATGCGTCTCAGTAGAGAAGTAGTATTGCTGAGTGTTGTGCTGAGAAACTTCCTGTAAACTCGTTGCACAAAAGGGGAAGAAATAGAAAAGAGAGAAGGAAGAGACACTTTAGAGGAGAAAGCCAACAGAGATTGCTGCAGTGAGAAGGACAACGAGTCTATGGAGGTAAAACAACATTTAACCTCGCCTTTAAATATCCTTTTGAACTAACTATGAAAGTTGTGATTCGAACACTTCTTCACGTTTACATGGCACTGCAGGTAAAAGTAAGTGTTGCTAAAGAAAAAGTCACAGTTTGATAAATTCCTTCTATAATTCTGGTGGCTAAAAGCTTGGCCTCAGCCCTGGAATATGGCAGAGATTGTTGTATCAGCACTGTTGTTGTAAAGATCGCTCGAAAAGAGTTTATTAATCAACCTCTCGAGAACGGATGTGACAAAATGCTTTACCACAAAAAATTAGGTTTAGTCACTGCCGAGAGTGAAGTGTGTTCATATCGCAACTACAGAATAAGTGAACACGCAACATCCTGTATTGTAAATGCGATGGCAACTGTGGACTTTCCTTTGGTCTGATTTCAGTTATATTTACTGCATC